AAGCTTCAACCAGGAGCTCTTTGAGATTGATTCTCGGTGGAAGGGTGAGAAGCCTTGGGTGCACAAGAGTGGGGGGCGCATGTACACTTTCGTTCCCTCAGGGCGCACGTACGATCGCACTCTTCCCGATGGATCTTTGTTGCCTCCCACACCTCCGTTGGGTCCTGCCTGGGCAGATACTTTGGATGGTGACGCCTCCTCTCCCGAACCCCTTGCCAATGAAAAGGGTGATAGTGAAGAGAGTGAAAGTGAAGAGTCCTACAATCCTGGTGGGAAAGCTGATGTTATGCCACCCTGTGGAAAATTTGGGCTTGAGGATTATTGTGATGGGCCAAATTGTAGAACTTGCCAGTTGGCCTTGGAAGGTGATGATGATGTTGATCCCTCGGGTACAGCCCGGGCAGCTTTTGCGCTGTGTGAACTCTTTGAACCTAGAAGTGGGGAGAAACGAAAATCACCTTCAGCTGAAAGTGCATTGACTTTGAAAACACCACCGAGTAAGAAACCTGATTTCTTCGGTTCAGCTGTCGTTGACACGCCAGAGAAGGAATGTAAGGACAAGCATGGTGAGGCTGGGGTTTTGTGATCTGGGCGTGTCTATAATGCTGAGGTAGGGGGCAGCCAACATATTTTTAAGCTACAGCACCTTGACATTCAACAGGGTTTACGTTTGGTTTTTGAAAACGACAAGACCCAATATTCAGTTTAATGACCTTTGGTTTTTGAAAACAACAAGACCCAAGATTCAGTTTTATAACTTTGGGTTTTTGAAAACAACAAGACCCGAGATTCAGTCTAATTACCATTGGTTTTTGAAAACAACAAGACCCAAGATTCAGTGTAATACTTTTTGTTTTTGAAAACAACAAGACCCGAGATTCAGTCTAATTAACATTGGTTTTTGAAAACAACAAGACCCAAGATTCAGTTTAATACTTTTTGTTTTTGAAAACAACAAGACCCGAGATTCAGTCTAATTACCATTGGTTTTTGAAAACAACAAGACCCAAGATTCAGTTTAATACCTTTTGTTTTTGAAAACAACAAGACCCGAGATTCAGTCTAATTACCATTGGTTTTTGAAAACAACAAGACCCAAGGTTCAGTTTAATGTTCATCCATGATCTCCACGCGCGCCAGGTTCCCAAGAGCAAGGGCACGAAGAAGACAAAGAGCCGAGTCACCCGCAAGAAGTCCAAAGGGAAGAAGGCAAGTTTCAAGGTCAATGGTGGGGGTCCGGGGTTGAAAGTTGGGAAGAACAAGGAAAAGGATTCGCTGACCTACAAGGGCACCTATGACCTCTCCAAGCTCCCAGCAGGTGCGCTCCCTGACCCATCAAAGCCCAACAAGGGCGCCCATAGCTACACCTTGATTAGCCCGTGTGGCAAGGGTAGCATCGAAGTGCTGCTGCGGCACAGTGCATTTTTTGTGAAGAAAGTTTCTCCTACTGGTTCTGGCCCCACTGGGCAGGTTAGTTTTGCCAGGTTTGGAGGAGAACATGGCGCGTGGCAGGAAGCTACGCGTCGTGCTGGGTTTCCGCAGTGATTCAGCAAACCAAGCTGCAATCATCTAGGGGGCCTTGAAAACATACCCATTAGAAAATATGTTTGGATGTTCTGGGGCCAACAGCAAAACTTATAAAGTGTCATTGCTGGAAACAAAAGTTTTTCAAAAGCATTGGTCAGCAATCAACATCAAAATTTTTCCCTGTGTTTATTTTCCAAGAGCCCCGGACCAAGCGTGGGATTTGGGTGTGACTCAGGGCACACATGTTTGTCAATGGGGAGCCCAAATGGGGCCTAGGATTTGCTTCGCTAGCGAACTGGATCAGGAAAACAGGTTCAATCGTGTGCAGTCATCTTTTACTTACGGAAACCTGCAATCCTTAGACTAACATGATCTCTAACATGCACCTCATACTTGGAGGGTGCGACATTCAGATTGAACTGAGCCAGGTGGATGGTTCCATGCTCAAGCCATTTTCGGTATCAACATTGCAAACAGATGCAAACAAAATGGGGGTCTACATCATTCACACAAGGGGTTGGATGATCGACCAAAGAAAACCAGGTTTCAGACACGTTCGAAAATATACATGTGTGCGTAGGAGGACTATATTCTATACCATCAAAAGAAATACACAAACATCGTGTTTCCTACATAACTATGCACATATCATATATGTATATATGCTTAATGAGTTAAATAAAGAGAGACAGAGAGAGAGAGATATATATATATATATGTAGCTCCTGCAGCTACTTGTACACACAAACACATGCACTGCCGGCTTCGTGCCCGGGTCGATGGATGACTGCCTGTGTCTAGGGAGGCCTACTGGGTGTGACGAAAAGGTTTGGATAGTGAAAAGAAACAAAAGGTTGGTCAATGACATAAGAAAAGATGGGTCCATCTCTAGATTACTTGATCGAGCAACGGCCATCCCCAACACGGATCCCCATGTCTCCTCTCATCTTTCTTCGTTGCAGGCTTCCTTTTTGATGTACCTTTGGATGCCAGTGAAGGTCGAGCTGGCTACATTGATGCCCCTGTGGACCCTTAACTTGGGTGTGGAATCGCCGTATTTCAAATACGACATTTAAATATGTAATGACCGGGATGTTAACCAAAGTTGTGGTTTTAAATGGATAGAACCTGCAAACACTGGTGAGAACTATCATATACTTTTTTACGTTCTTTTGGACATGTTCACATATGCCAAAAGGTCATCATATACCAGGGTTCTAATGAAAAGGGTCTTAATGAAAATCCCGCTCAAACAGATGAAGCTAATACCAAAGAAAATGCAGAAACAAGTTTGGTGTGCGTGTAACACCCCTTATTCGCTGCCACTTAGTGGATTGGATCTGAGCTTGCGTTTCCTGATATTTAGTGGTGGCAATGGGGAAGCCTAAGCCAACCTCAACTTTGCATCAGTCCAAGAAAAAGGCCATGGAGGTCCCACGTGGAATCAAAGGTGAGACCCCGATGAAATCTAAACGAGACCGAGAAAGATCGTGGACCCCCCGGGCCTTGTCGAAAATGGGTGCTCCAAAGGTGGATAGCTTAGTGATTCAGTGTGCAAAACAGCTTATTGATTCTATGTGTCAATTTGCAACAACTTTTTTTTATCGGTATCGATGTTGTTTGATGATATCAGAACATACTATAGATACTATAGATGCTTAGGTTGTGGCCTTGCTGGTGGCCCTGGTTTTTGGGCTTCCTGGGTTGGATTGGTCCACGCCGCGAGATCACACAGAGCTGTTTGCTGGTGTGATGAGCATTACTTCGGGGGAAATCCAGGAGAAAACTTTGGACAGTGTTGCTCTTAAATTGGGGAAATCTAAATCCCACAAACAAGGTCAGTTTGTACATATATACAGGTATACATGCACATACATAAACATAAAGTTAAATGGCATATATACATCAATACATATACACTCATACACATACACACAGAAAATCAAATAAGCAATACATGTTTCATGCTTACGACTCACGACTCTACATATACATATACACCTACCTTCCTTTACATAAGTACATACATACATACATACATACAGACAGACAGACAGACAGACAGACAGACAGATATACATACGTATATACAAACAAACATGCATGCATGCATGCATGCAAACATACATACATACATACATACATAACATACATGCATACATACATGCATACATACATACATGCATGCATACATGTACACATATACACATAGATACAGACAGACAGACAGACAGACAGACAGACATACAGACATACAGACATACAGACATACAGACATACTTACATACTTGCATACTTGCATACTTGCATACATACATTCATCCATCCATCCATCCATCCGTACATACACACATACATACATACATACATACATACATACATACATACATACATACATACTTACATGCCCACATACATACATACATACATACATGCAAACATACTTACATACATACACACATAGATACATACAGACAGACACACAGACAGACAAACAGACATACAGACATACAGACAGACATACAGACATACAGACAGACAGACATACATGCATGCATGCATGCATACATACGCACATATATACATACAAGCAAACATACATACATACATACACATGTATATACACATATCGAAACATATTTACATGTACATTTACACGCACATACATTTATATGCATATATATATATGTAGACATGACATCAATATACATATGAAAATGTAGCGTTCGTTCATCCATTCACCCATCCATCCATCCACCCATCCATCCATCCATCCATCCACTCAGTCCTTGAGTCAGTCAGTCAGCCAGTCGGTCAGTCAGGTACAAACGGAACTCACAGATGTCAAACCTTCATCAAACGATGCCCAACAGAGTATGTTGCCCGTTGGGAATCAAATCGTGATGTTTTTATTCAGTCTTCTTTCTTTCGTTCGTACTTTCCTTCATTTGTTCATATGCATGAATTCAGTACACACATGCCTGTATACATGCACATATCCAGAAATACATTAAGTAGGTCCGAATGTTCCACACCCAAAAGTGGCAATTTTCCACTTAGATTGGCCCATTATTACGGACCCCACGAAGTCTTTCAAATGCGGCGTTTTCCCAAGGTGGTGTTACCACTTGGGTGGGTCCATTTACTTGGGTCAACCCAAGTGGAAAATTAGGGCCCAAAAGAATCCATACCACAGGTATCCAGTTGCTTTGCTTTCATGTAGGTTGGTTCCTGAAAAAAAGCCCCAGAAGGTACAACAACTTTTTAAATCTTAGGGGAAAACTATTATATGGGAATGTCTCAAAATAGGGGGGCCCCAAACTCACCTTTTTCTAGCTAAAAAAGAAAGGTTTGGGGCCCCCAGTTATGGCACCCCTATTCTGAGACATTCCCATATTGTGGTGACCCCAATATCACCCTGGTAGGAAGGACGCACTTGCACTGCACTGGATATTGACTATGACAAGGAATGGATGGATATTACATCGGACCGTGGGTTTACGCTATCCCTCTATTCTTTGCTCAACACCAAACGAGGAGGAGGGTGCACACTTGCACCAGTATGTTCGTCATGGGTGTTTGTGAAACTTGCTTGTTATTAATCCAAGGTTTGACAACCTTTTTGGGAGATTCTCTTTTGTACCAACCTCACCAAAATTTTGAGAGCATGAATATTCCCAATTAATTTTCAGACCATACGCCATCAATTCGACCATCGTCCCTGCAGCCCAGGTCGCGTGGATCGACTCACAGAACCAAAGCTTCACCTTTGGGATCCCGGAAGGGGTCCACAGAGGTTGGAAATATCATGGCGGCAAGAGTAGCCATTCTACTTCTCATAGCGGCATCCCGAGGCATATTTTGGATATTAGAACAACCAAAGGGGTCGTTGTTTGAATTTCACCCACAAATTCAAGCTGTGTTCACACTCCTACGGTGCTATCGAAAACACATCCATATGCGCGACTTTGGCGCTGGCAGCCAAAAGCCCACATGGCTATATTCAGGTAGGGGTATGAAAAGTTGTCAAACCCAAAAAAGACCCATTGGCAAAAGTTTCACCTTCAAAATTGAGTCTTTAGGGGCTCATGTTTGGAATTCTGTTTTAATTTTATGAGGTTTTAAGCATCAATAGCCCTGCAGGACATCGATATGTGGACGACATCAATTCCTTTAAACCACCTAGACTACCTCAAGCTAGAAAAACAGCTCTTGTGGATCACTACGTGGATTCCAAGGGGGTCAAGCGGATCAAAGGATCCAAGGCGATGAAAAGTTCACAAAGCTACCCTCGGCAGTTCCATGTTCAAAATGTGAACACTTTGTTTTCAGTTGGGTAATGGTTTTGGGCTTGTGTTTACAGCACCTACTTGCCCCAAAGATTTTACCCAGTAGATGGAAAAGATATAGAAGTCCCAAATAGATGCCACTAGTTTTCATAGATGTGAAAGAAAAAGATAGTAAGATACAACCCAGTTTCTGGGGTGCCATCTCGCATCTTTCAGGTTTGGGACAGCAGTCGCTCGTTTGAGGACAAGGTACTTGACTCGTGTCAAGAAGGATGCCAGCAACCTTTTGAAGACCTCAGGGCCAGTTCGGAAGCTCACCAAGCGACAGTCCAGTTTCAATGTTTGGGTCAACGCCGCAAGCCTGACCTCTGTGATTCAATACCTATCCTCCTGAAAACACAGGGGGCAATATATAGATAGCTGTGTGCTGCTGTTGCAAAGCAATTTTCACACAGGATGAAATTAAAGTGTTTATGGTTCTGCATTTCAATTTGCAGGGCGATGGAACAACATGCCATCAATCGGGGAAAATGGAACTCATATAGTTGCTAAGTCGTTTTGCATCAAATGGTGGGTTGGCAGGTGCAAGTCGTGTCATGGTGTCAACCCTGGATTGACCCATGGTGTTCCCCAAAATTTAATACTATATACAAGGATACCCACCGGTTCAAGAATACATTGCAGGTCAAGAGGTTTTGGGGTTTTATCAATCCAGGGTTGGCAGTAGTCAGAATTGATATTGGTGACGGATGTGAACCCATCAAAGTTTCAATCTGTTCGTTCCACACCCTTCAGATGTTGGTAAAGTCTCATATCTTGTACTTTTCAATCCCCTGATGCCCCTTACACATCCTGTTCCCATTGAGTTTAGCACAATGGCAGGGAAATGCCACGATTGGTGCTGAAGAATCTGCCTGATCAAGGCAGGGTGGCGGGTATGAGCTTCAGCCATGAAGGATTACCACCAAGAATGGCTTAACCTGTGGTATTTTGATATCGCTAACATCCCACTTCTCCCAAAAAACAATGGTGCATTCAGAAATGTTTTGGGTGTGTGCAGTCTTTGTTTTTCAAAAAAAACATCAAATGAGTCCAAAACTCAATGGTGAATTGTCGAGAAATTGCCGCGATTTGTCGAGAATTGCCGCGATCTGTAAAATGATCAAAATATCTATGTTCTACAAAAAATAAATATTACATTTTATAGTAGGATGTTCTATATTTCCATGGTGTGTCATGCAAATGCCGCGATTTGTATATGCATTTGATATTGCCGCTATTTGCAGCACATTTGGGATCAGTTACAGCTGTGCAGCCACATGGCGAAGACTAAGGAAAAGAAGGGATCCAAGTTAGCAGCTCAGCTGGCTGCCAGGAAGTCAGCCTTGAAGCACTCAGCTTCGCATCAGAAGGAAAGGGCACCATCGACAGCATCCACAACGGCATCATCAAGTGAGGTCAGGAAAAGGATCACAGGAAAGAAGGCTGAAAAAGTGTTTGTCTACCGGACACCAGACAAGTCGACAGACTCCATCAAGTCACCACCTCCTCCTGAGTCTTTGACCACAAAGGCAAGCGATGAGCATGGCAAGCACAAGAAAGACAAGGCAAAGAGCAAGCCGAACAATGACACGGGTATCAAGAAAAATCTCAAGCAGTCAAATCAGGAGGACAAGAAGTCAGGAGTCCACAATGACAAGAGCAAGGGCAAGAAGGACAAGACTAAGGAGACAAAGGAGACGAAGCAGACCAAGGAGGCAAAGGAGAAGGAGACGAAGGAAGCAGAAGCAGAGAAGGCACCTGACTTCGAGCCAATGGTGAACGGCATCATGGAGGGTGAGTCAAGTGATGATGGAAGTGAGAGTGAGAGATCGACTCTGGTTCTTGGTGGACCTCATCCTTCTGCTGATGAAGCTGAGGACAGTCCTAGCGATGAGGCAGCCAGTGACCCCGACTCAGATGACAATGAGGATGAGGTGATGGAAGACGAAGAGGAAGAGGAGGGAGAGGATAGTGAAGATGACATGTCGGTAGATACCAGTGATGATGAAGATGCGACAGTGGCCCCGACATCGGTCAAGGAGAAGCAGCAGGCAAAGGAGAAGGTCCCGAAGGAAAAGAACACACAGAAGGAGAAGAAGACCAGCAAGGGCAATGAAAAGGAGACTGAGAAGAATGACCGAAAAGAAAAGGACAAGTCGAAGGAGTCCAAGAACACAGGCATCGGGCAGGAGTTGAGTGAAGTTTCCAAACGTGCGGCAGGGCATGCACAGGCAAATTCTGTCACCCATAAGAAAGAGTGGGATACATTCAGCCGCCAGCTGAACGACAGAAAGAAGCTGCCAGTTCAATTGGCAGAATACGTCAACACCCGAAAGCTTGACCTGTTCCAGATTTGGTTAGAAAACAATCAGAATCTTCACGAGTCCTATCCTCAATTGTCTCAAGCAGATTGAAAAGTGTCCACTTTTGCTCTGAGAAGATTACAATATTTAATCCCATCGCCCTATTATTAAACACCCCCTAAATGGTCCCAATTATGTGGAACCCCCCTACTAAACTAAACCATGGTTTCTGGAGGAGTGTTAATATTAGGGGGAATGGATTACATATAATAACCCTCCTACGTTCGAAGGGTACATGAGTTAAAAATCAGTTCACTATCTGAGTGGTCAATTCTGGTTGTTTCTGGACCCCTTTCATTTAAATGTTCCATCTAAGGGTGGCGCTTGTTGTGGAGCGAACCATTGAACGGGCTACACAAGCCAAATCTGGACGCATTGGGGTGAAGCGTCGTGATTTGGTCCCCAAGTACTGCACCCTTGAAAAAGTCGATGCCCTCGTGATGAATTTGCGATCAAAACAATTGTGGGCATGGGACGAAGATTGGCCCAATGATGAAGAGGACTGAAACAATACCTTTCTTATTCTTCTTTGATATTCTAAATTTTGATTTGGATGGGCCTAAATGACAACCAATTTATTTTGTGGTGCCACACACATCTTTTGGGAGGAAATTTGGTATTTCCCAACTGCTGCGTCAAAGTACGCCAAGACTGACACCACAGCAGACCGTATGTCTTTGAAGGGGAAATGCAACCCAGATAGTGATCTTCTTGCCAGCTTGACCGCCGACACCGGCCCCCTGGCTGCTGGTGCCATGCCTGCACTCGACATGGGAAATATTGAAGGCCAGAAATCCATGTGCGAAAGCCTGGCAGGTGGAGCGGTGGCCAAAGCCAAGCCCAAGAAGGCGAAGAACGAGCAGCCCGCAGAAGAGGTGGTCCCAGCTACTGTGAAAGAGACAGGGACTCAGTCCAAATGCCGAAACATTCCAATGCCAACATCACAAAAGTTGATGGCTGATTCAATAGGTGGTTGTTTCAAAAAGTGTGAGGCTTCTCAAAAACCACATAGCCCGATCAACGTTACCCTCTTATACCCCTCATCTACTCCATGATCTACACTTAGCCCACATCAGGAAAGCCCGAGACTTGATGGATGAAGTCCTTAAGGAAAGTGGTGAGGCACGCAAACAGGCAATTGCTCTTCGCCATGTTCAATATGGAGGAGATTTGGTGGAAAAGCTGTTTTCTCACAGTACCCAGATGGAGAAAATTTACAGTTGCTTCCAAAATCTCTTCACCCAGCCTGATGCCAAAGACGGCAAGTTTCTCAAGCTGATGGCCCTGGCGAAAGAGAAGCGTGGCTGGTTTGAGACTGCGAAGGCCAGCAGCCTTTTGCCCCATATGACATCCGCATGTAAACCACATTCCAAAGTGTTTCCAAGAATCATTGGATAAAAAAAGGTTTCAGGAACCAGATGTCAACCTCCAAATTAAAACGATGTACGATCGGTTGACCTATTGTTATCAGCACCATTTGTCAGTAGCTCGGAAGTTTCTTCAGAAACCCACATATAGCATATATACTGTATACAAATATATCTCTATTCAAATATAGCCCAAAATTATCCAGTACAAACTATACTGTATGTACTGTATATTCTTTAATCATCGTATGTATTAACATATGCACAGTCGTACACATGTAAGCATGAAACCCATTTAAGTTCCATATGCATTATAATTGAAGTTTACCACATATCTGCCTATCTATGTACCCATGTACCTATGTATCTATGTATCTTTGCATCTATGCATCTATGCATCTATCTATCTATCTATCTATCCATCAATCAATCAATCAATCAATCAATCAATCAATCAATCAATCAATCAATCTACCTATCTATGTATCTTTCTATCAATGTATCTATTTATCTATCCATCCATCAATCCATCAATCTACCTATCTATGTATCTATCTATCAATGTATCTATCTATCTATCTATCTATCTATCTATCTATCCATCCATCTATCTATCTATCTATCAACCTATTTATCTATCCATCTATCTATTTATCAATCTATCAATCTATCAATCTATCAATCTATCTATCAGCCTATCAATCTATCAATCTATCAATCTATCAATCTATCAATCTACCTATCTATCAATCTATCAATCTATCTACCTATCAATCTATCAATCTACCAATCAATCTATCAATCTATCAATCTATCTATCTATCTATCTATCTATCAACTTATCTATCTATCTATCTACCTATCTATCAATCTATCAATCTATCTACCTATCCACCTATCTACCTACCTATCTACCTATCTACCTATCTACCTATCTACCTATCTACCTATCTACCTATCTATCTATCTATCTACCTATCTATCAATCTATCAATCTATCAATCTATCAATCTATCAATCTACCTATCTACCTATCTATCTATCAATCTATCAATCTATCAATCTACCTATCTATCAATCTATCAATCTATCTATCTATCAATCTATCAATCTACCTATCAATCTATCAATCTATCAATCTATCTATCTATCTATCTATCTGTCTATCTATTTATCTATCTATCTATCTAATGGGGTATCATGGCTTTCAATACTGAGGTGCAATTTGAGATGATTTGGGGTTACTGCTATTTCAGGAAACTTCCATATGTAAATGGGTGTATGTGAAACCGTGTTATGATATGGTTTTCACCCACCTATTGGGATGCAATCCCCAAGTTATCTCAGTTCCATTCAAATGGGGTGTCCCTTCGAACATCCATTGCAGGCTGCTGCCAAAGGCCTTTTGAACGGACTCACCAAGAAGAAGAAGCCTCGGTCGAAAGCTGCTGCGCGTCCCAAAGATGAAGCCACACCGGCATCGTAGGGAGCAAATGCTCATATTTTGGGGGTGAGCTGTGCAATCTGCCCATAGATGGCAGGCCATTGTGTCCATTTATTCCATCTATAAGTTTTCATATCATGCAATGGTTGTCATCTATTTATATACTGTTGATTTCACATGTGGGGCTAGCAATGGTCTATACTTTGGGGCCGACCACACGCTCCAATCTTGGCATATGGAGATTCCATCACAGAATGGATCGTTAATTTTGACTTCGCATCTGCGCAGAAGAGTTTGAAGAAAAAGCGTGAGAAATTTCACGGCTGTTCAAAATCATTCCAAGCAAAAAATCAAAGCAGCAACCAGTGAGATATGTTCCCTATGATCTTTTGTTTGGAAAAAAAAGTAGAAGTTATCGGTGAGCAAGCTTCCTATTGCTTGTCTTTTCACACCCCATCTGTAGGAAATAGAGAAACATGAGACCCAGCGTGCCTGACAGGCTTGAAACGAAAAGCTTCATCTTGTTCAAGAGGTGCACGAAAGCTTCGGGCCTAGAAACCATGGGTACTGGTGGTGTTGGGTTGGGTTCATTGATTCAAGTTTCTGTGACTGCATGGTTTGGATCCCACATGAGGTTTCGAAGAACCAGGTATGAGCAATACCCGCACAGCCACCAGGCTGAGCACTTCATACGCCCTTTGGCTCTACAAGTCATTCAGTGAACATACCCCTACACCCAGAAATCTTTACCAAAGAGACCCTCATACTAAATCATATGGATATCATCTTATCAACGATGGGTATGTTCCAGGTATGTGACAGTAAGTCTGTTATTCGCGCAATCAACATTGCTCTACAAGTAGTTTAGCGAACATACCAGGCTCCCAGAAAGTACTTACCAAAGAGCCACGCATGGTAAATCACATTGGTTTTGTCCCAATATTGGGTATGTTCTAGATTCTAGATACAATCTGTTATTCGCACAATGCAACATTACACTGGTATCCTTTTTCCCTTTTTCTTTGCATTGCGTGGAATCTAAGGAATGATTGGCAGTGGGAAATCCCACATTCGAACAGTAGTCTCAATAGCCCAGGCCCAATCCCGGGACCAGGAGCCAACACCAGCTGTGAAGGCTTTTGCAAGCCTTGGCACGTTTGGCAAGAACAATGCTAACGAGGAACGGGATCTTCACCGGTGGCTACAGGGGTTACATGGGATCCAGCTGGAAGTCTACAATGTAAGATTTTCTGTTCAAGAATTTGGGCCAGTAAGCATCAACTTTGTCAATGTTTCCACATTTTTTCAACAAGGTATTCGGGGCCAACCCACAACATGTTTTAATGGAGCCTATTAAAAAAATCATTTTTGATCTGCGCGTGCTGCCCAGGTAAAGGATTCAATGAACATCGAGAAGGTCTCTATCCCAGTGCTTCTACCTCACGAAGTTTTGCATGCTGTGTGGCACGCAGGGGAGCAGCAGGTGAAGGGTTCCATCGTTACCCATAAATATGTTTGGCATGTGTTCTTTTTTGGTAGGTGGTACCGCAAGGAATTTCTGAATACATTGTGTTGTGCATTCAAAGTTAGTGTATGAAAACCCTGGCAGTTCAGAAAGTCGATGATGGGGACCTCAACTCCATCTTACATCGAACAATTCTGGAACCATTGCCGAACATGTGAAGAATGGGCAGACCATCCTGTTTTGCAAAGAGGGGGTGATCTGGGAAGAACCTTTTCAAGGCTGAATGTATTGAAGATTTTTCCAAATTTAATTTTGGAAGCGTTTATTTCCAAAGCCTTTCAATTTGGGATGCTTTGGGGGACCAGGGTCGCCAAAGTAAGGACTCCTACCAATCACATTGCACTGTGATGGTGCCGAGTTCTTTCGCAATTCTGAATATTTAGTGTGGAGCTGGTCCAGTCTGATGGCTTCTGGTGATGACACTCTACTTGTTTATGGGAAAATATTTTTGATTTTGTTCACCAATTCTCCATGCCACCTCAAAATATTTTAGTCTGTTCTGCTTCGCATAAATCTTACTAAGGTGATGGACATCAAGTTTCCCATTGTGATCATACCTCATGAAAGCATGAAATCACCTGAGGCTACCTGGCTACAAATTCAAGTCAGTTGGCATCCATCTCAAAAACGGTCAGTGGAGGAACTTGCATGGGTGCAAAGGCTTTAGTATGATTATATAGCCCCACATGTTGTCCAAGTAAGATTCACAAATGAAGTGATATGGACTTGAGACCCATCACCGTCATGCGGCCCCTTGCAGTTGAGGTTCAGGACGCAATCCACAAATGTGTAGCTGAGCTGGTGTCGTGGTCTGTGGCCTGGGCAAGCAAAGGGGTCTGGCCAACAGAAGGTTTTGATGGGGAAATCTTTGACACAACATCAATTCGCTACAAGTTGCGTGGGCAACCGATAGCTCAAGAGTGGAGGTTGGGTTTGAGAATGTGTTCAAGTTTCAGAATGTTGTGTTTTCAAAAACAGCAACTGTTTCAATTGTTCCCCCCAAAAAAATGGTCACATAGATCGATTTCTCTCCCTGTAGGCTAGCATACTTTGGCTTCCGGTATGATGCCAAGGCTAGAGTGCAATGCAACTTGTTCGATCGTTGGTATCAATGCAAGCTTCTTTGTGAACAATGTATGTCCCAAAGGCCAACCCCGAAGCACGATCCAAACATGAACTACCAAAACTTCAAGGCAGATTGCCCTCGCTACCTCACCTACATGTCGGACCAAGACTATAGGAAAACCGCTGAACGTATTTCACCATGGACAAGCATGGAGGGCTGGCACATGAAGAGTTGTTTTCACGATGCCATGCACACAATTTACCTTGGAATTGGTAGAGACATTGTTTCCAATATCCTTGCCGACATGGTCGACTGTGGTGTTTTGGGCCCGGGCAGTCTTGATGAGCAGCTTCGTAGATTAAGCCTGGACATGCACAAGCGTTTCAAACAGGAAGGGTTCCCTGGTCACAGGATCTTATGTTTTGCCAACTCGATATGTTTTTTCTCTAAAACTGTTTCCGTTGTTTCTGGAATATGGGATGGGGAACTTATGTTGGTTATGATTTCAATTTACTTCTGGGTATATTGTGTTCCCACTGAATGAGTTTTACAATGGTTCAATGCGGTAATGTAAAGAAATGTTGAACTATTGGGCTTCCATTGGGTGAGTTGTATAGCAGTTCAACGGGGTCAAATAAAACAAAAGGGCAATTGAAGGTGTAAATAGGCAAGGCCACAAATCTTAACCACCATAAGTTGAGATCTATTCACCATAACTATGGGAATACAGCTATTGCAGTTACACCCGAAACCCACCCACTGTAGCTAAGGATCAACTGCAAGAAACTCTTCTTCACACCATCCAACACGGGTCTGAAAGAGAACAAGTTCCCAGAGTTGGGGAGCATGTGGAAGGCAGCCCATGTGAAAATGGTGATGTGGTATATCGCTCAAACGGTTTCCGAAAAAGCTGCCAGCACAGGGGTGCCTAGGCATGTGAACTAACAGGTTCCATATCGTTTATTTCACCATTGCCCCATTACTTAAAATCCATTGGCCAGCTTGCTTCTCTCAGGATCTCATTCTACAGGGTGGCGCATGCTGCATTTGGGCTTTGACCACTGCAATCCATCGAATGGACCAATGTGAGCTTTTGATGGATCAATCAGATGCTGATTACATAGCTGATCATTTTATGGATTGCCTCTTGCATTGGCAAGGCATGAAGCGATCCTGCAAGGATGCTGGTGTAAAAAGGTGGGGGTTCAGACCCAAACACCATTATCTTGAACATTTGTCCGAGAGTGTCCGAAGGACACGAATCAATCCACGACACCTATCATGTTTCCAGGATGAAAGTTACCTGGGTTCTATCAAACATATAGCTTGCAAAACTCATGCTGCTACAGCATTGCTCCGAATCTTCCAAAGGTTGATTCTGAATTTGGGTTTGCGATTTCATGAGGCCCGAGGTGGCTACAAGAATCAGAAGTCACCCAAGCCCGGCAGCTCCAAACAACAAGTCCCGAGCCTTCTGTAGCGGGAAAAAATGCATTGGGCAGCATGGCAAGGCCATGGTCTTTGGGTGAACGCCCAAAGGTTTGAAAGATGTGGTGTGGGAAAATGTTTTGTTGGCAAATGGAAGAATTCAACACCAACGCCTATAGGGCCTATGGTTTTGAAACAAACAGGATCAAATCCAGTGTTCCTTAAACAGAGAGTTGGCTCACAATTTTGGGTTCTTTTGATATTTGATCCCAGGGTTGGTGCCAACGATTTCCCCAAACCGAAATGGGTGATGCTAATGATAAGTTAAATAAGTGGGTTGTTACATGGAATATGTTTCTGTTTCTTGTGTCTATGACCCTTCCTCAAAGGAACAGAAGCGGCAATGCAGTTGATGAATGGTGAGTTGCACTTGTGTATTATCCCACCAGTGAAAAGTCAGAAACGTTTGTAGTTCTTTAATTGAGAAAATGTTGCCACTGCTTGTATGCATCACTCGTGTTTTAAGCAAACTTCATGTCCTGAAAAATGCGTGCGCTGGCACGACTGTACAAACTACTGGTATACCGGATCAAATTGAGCGTTCAGCGGGCGATTTGGTTCTTGATAGAGGCCCCCCCAAAAAAAATTACCCATGCACACATATATGTGCACAAACACATGATTATTATTACTAGTACTGTTATTATCGTTACTGTCATTATATAATTATTGTTTTTATTAAACAGGGATTGGTAAATGTCCCATTTTGGGGCTATTGGACATCACCTTTGAATGGCAATTATAGATGAGATACCTCATGGTTGGGTGATGTTAAGTGGTGACATTTAATGACCCATGTTATAAATATATTTACCATCATACATATAGACATATATTTAAAACATATAAGCGCATACATGTTCACAGTTATGAAAACGTTTGTTTAGTTAAAAACCCACATATACATACGTTCATATGTAGGTGTGCATTTACATATACAAATACACATGTGTGACGCACACAAACATGCACAACAGACAAACAACAACAACAACAACAACAACAACAGCAGCAGCAGCAACAACAGCAACAGCAACAACAACACCAACAACCAACAACCAACAACCAACAACCAACAAGCAACAACCAACAACCAACGACCAACGACCAACGACCAACGACCAACGACCAACGACCAACGACCAACAACCAACAACCAACAACAACAACAACAACAACACAACAACATATATATATATATATATAAATACATAGATCCACAAATACACATACATGCATACATACAGGCATCCATGTATTGTAGGCATATTTTATAAAGACATGTATGTATATATTTTTTCTTCTCACACGCAACTTTCGGCACTGCATGCGACGCAGGCGAAAGCATAGTCCGCGGAACAAACGACAATTTTCCGTACATATACTTGTACACCGGGACGCATCGTAAAGCGTCTCGACTCAAACGGCAAGTTTCCGCGTCGTACACCACGCAACGGGAAGCGTCCCGATTCAAACGGCACTTTTTCGCGTCGTGTCACACGCACCGGAACATTCAGCAACGCAAAGCGTCTCCACTCAAACGGCAATTTCCCGCACTGCACCGGAACACACAGCGTAAAGCGTCTCCACTCAAACGGCAATCTCCCGCACAGCACCGGAACACACAACGTAGAGCGTTTCCACTCAAACGACACTCTCCCGCACTGCACTCTCCACATTCTACACTTTACACACTCTACACTCCCCACTCCAAACTTTGCACTTCACACTCCTTCTACACTCCACACTCCACACTGTACACTTTCCACTCCACACTGCAGACTGGTTGCAGGTGAATTTGCACAAGACTGTTCAAATAAATTATTGTAGAAAAGTGTTCTGCATGACTGCATTTCCATGTGTTTCGTCATTGAGCATTCGTGTTCGTGATACTTTAGATGTATAACAAAAAGAGAACATCTTTTCTAACTGCAATCTAGGTGGTTCGACACTTTCCGAAGAAGTTGGATACAAACGACAGCTGTGGGTACCCCCAGTTGCCGTTTGGAGCAATAGTTGTCCTTTGGGCAACTTTGGATCCTAACGGAAAGGTCGACTATATTCCTCGTAGCACGAAGCGAAAGCAAAAAATATCAGAAAATGGCGATGCTAGAATTCAATTCGCAACACCTGAAAACAATCGTATACGTGTGAAATTTACAGCCAGACTCTGCTTTTTTTGGTCCGAAATTGATTTTTTTGGAGGAAATATACCAGAAAAAGAATTCGACGGATTTCGCATTCTTTTTTTGGTTTAACCAATTTCTTTTAGTCATCCGACGGTTTCCGACGGTTTCCGACGCAAGGTTTTTGCCTTAGTTTGCTCACTTTTGCGCATGTCCCCTCATCCATGCTTCTCTGAGACGTCTCTTTCACAATTTGAACACTGAAATGGACCGGGCCCCTTTGATGTCATTTTTTTCGGGTGAAGACTTTATCCATGGAAGTGACAGGACGAAATGCATACAAAAATTAACCTGGAACCCTCAAAGCGCAGAAATGTATTATTTGCTTTGGTGCAAAGCAAATTCTACATTATCGTCAAAATTGTATTGTGAGAATTAAAAGGAATAAACATACATATACATAGATACATATATTCCTTTTGGTAGCGTGAACCATATCACATGTTATTTTTTATATCCTGAAAGATGTTTCATGCTGTGGCCTTCGACCATATATATATAACATCATGTGCCACGATTCCCAGCACAAAGGGTTTATCTGTTCCAAAAAAGCAATCAAAAAACACAGAGTCCTAAAATATTGCAAAGTTGAACATAGTCAATCCATTTGTACCTATCGAAATAAATGTGAAGATGCACTTAAACATGGCACACGTTGGAATATTTTAAGGTTCTTTTGTGTTTTTCTTGGGTTTCTTATTTTTTCTTTCCTCTCAACGACCTTTTTTTGGTCATTCAGTTTTTTTGGTCAAACCAAAAATTTTTGGTCGACCAAAAAAAGTAGTCATCCGGGATGTCTAGGTGCCACGACCTTGATGCCATCGAGCGTGTAGTTGCCAAAGAGCGACACATGGTACCCTGCTGGGAGGCATGACCTGGTCTCTTTCGGTGAGCACGTTGATAGAACTCGCCGCATTGGCCATGATCTCCGATACCAGCCACGTTTGGAATGGAGAGACCATGCGATCATCACGCTGTTGATGACAATGATCGACTGATCTTCCAGATCTGCAGTCTCCGCAATGGGCTCCATGAACCACGGCATGATGACCTCATACGGGTTTGTGAGCTGCATTAGATCTGGTGGGCTGAGCTGGAGCTTGCTGCCTTCCCTGACCAGAAGGGTTGCTCCAGCCCCACCATTGACCTCCTCCTCCACCACGAGCGCCAGCAGATCTGCGTCCCGCCATGGCTGCTGGGTGGATGATCTAATCCGTTCTGGAGCTGCCCGGGCCCAGAACAAAGAGGCCAAGAATGATCAATCTTGAGCCAAAATGGCATAGATTTATCATTCTTGGTGATTGACCTCAATATGAAGGGGAAATCACCCCAAACCATCACTTCTCAAAACAAATGATAGATCAGATATAAATAGAAAAAAGGATCGCAGAGGTTGAACAACCTCACATCTCAATTGGCAAGAGCAGTTAGGTGGTCCGGAACTTAAGATTGACCCACTTCTCCCAACCAAACCAGACCGTAGATAAGTGAACATATATATATATATATACCATATATATCGATATCGATCTCGATATCTATGCTGTATCTTAAATCATATCATTTGTATATATCTATAACCATCGACATGTATATATATATATACATACTATAAATATTATAAAATGCATATCATTGAACTTGTTGTGACGGCATGTGTGTTCAAATACCCAAGTACATGCTTTTTATTTCAGTGTCGTCTTGATGATATCCGTACAGCTCGATGAACATTGGGTATACAGTTCGATTGACAAGATCAATATCTCATTGAGAGAGTCCTTGATGTTCCCAGTTGTAACAACTAACCCTTAAGTCCCAGGACCGCAACAAGCATCCGAGATCCAATGTGAGATGATCCAAGCCGTGTAAGCCTCGTCTGCAGGCGCTAGACTCGCCTGCGCCACAAGTTTGAGGTTGTGACCAAGCTGACTTACTACAAACATCTGCCTCACAATGCTGGGTTTCTAGGGATCTGGCGCATGCTCAGCCAATACAAGTAGTCACAAAACATCACAGAACCCGAAGTATTATTGAATATCCCAGAATATATAGAATACATGGATGTTGCGAGAATGAGACATCCCTGAGACAGATGAGGCAGTTTCAAGCTTGCGAAGGCCATCCGGAAAAACACACCACTCCATACCACTTCAATAGATTCCATTCAAGTCACTCCCCTGCACAGGCGGCGTGGGATATATTTTGAACCTTTTTTTCGATTCAGAAACTGGTGATATGGATCTCCTGTTTCTTGCACTACGCACAAGCATCGTCGTGCGCTTCCAGCAGGCAACTGCAATTCACAAAGACCGTTGTGCAGAACGTGCGAGGGGTATTTTGCCGTGGACCCCATCGCAAAGATTGAGATTGCCTATTGGCCAAGACAATGTCTGGAGCAGTCAATCTGTGGTCCTGTCAAAAGGTTTCAAACACTTCACTCTAACACCAATAAACCAACCTTTGGCAATCTGGCTCTGACTACCCTTGCAGTGAGAATTGCAAATTAAAGGCGAGGCAAAATACTCAGAGGCTCAGAGGCTGCTGGGTCACGAAGCCTCCTCAAATGCCACCAGCGTCACCTCTCTCACTTCACGCCACCGTGGTCACCGTGGAAGTCGAAGTCATCGTCATGGTGCTGGTCATGGTCATGGTGGCAGTCACGGTTTCACCAGTCGCGGTGGTTGTCGCTGTCACAGTTGCAGTGGCAGCTGTAGTGGTTTCCTCCGTTTTGCCGCAGCCTTGCAAAGACAGGGAGGCAATGAAGCCGAAGCAAATGGCCGCGAACGCACGGACAAGCTGCATGATC